GCTTCTGAAATGATGTCACGAAGCACTGCCCAGATATTACTCTTAGCATTTTGACCAGGAACATTTGCCCAATATTTACGCACCCCGTCGTGCTATTAGTTGCTGGTGTCCATTTTACAGCTAAATATATTCCAATGGTCATCCAAAAAGCTAGAACTCTTCCCCGTCCTTATCTCTCTTCTCAGGCATGTTAATGGGCTTCAACTGTGTGATCAGGAAATTTTTCTGTTTTTTGTTCTTTTGAACCCCTAAATATTTTGCGATCATCTCCAAAAGCAAGAAGCCCCTCTGTATCTCCAAAATTTAGACTCATCTATATGATTTGGTTGTCTACGATATTTGGCTATATTCGTCAACGAAATCAGCATAAAAAAGCAGAAGTTCGCCTTTTGTGTATTTCGGATATCGCCTGTAATCGCCTGGTCCATTCCAGCCGCTATCCTAAACTCATGCGTGATTTCGTGTCCTTTGCTTTGTATATGTGACCTTTATAACGGCTGCAAAATCAGGAACATTTTTAGTTGTTGGTTCATTTCAACCCCTAAATATATTCCGGACATCTTTAGAAACAATAGGCTTAGCCCTTCTGAGCCTAACCCCACCCTTGTAAAAAATTTGGTCAGGATCGAAAGAAAAAAATGTCACAAAATACTACAAAATCTATATTAACATCATTATTGGCATCTTTTTATCCGATTTTATTAGATTTCATACTTTTATGCATAGAGGGCTTTCTGGATTGATAAAATTTTTCAAAATCGGACCAGCCATTCTTGAGATACACATACACACATGAGATACACATATACACATTGTATATATTTCGCTATATACCCGATATATTTACTATCGGCATCTACGTAACGGTCAGAATTGACCGCTTCGTCTATTTGTGATTTCGCCTGCACTAAAAATATTCGCGGTTTAATGGAAAATTTGACTTTTATTTAACACAAACCTAAATATTACCCGATGACCATGAAAATTGTAAGGATTCTTCCCAGCCCTACGCTCTAGCCCCATGCTAACAACCGCTTCGATTGGTCTATAATATCGACCTATAGAGCAACTGCAATATCAGGAAATTTTTCAGTTTTTGGTCCATTTCAGCCCTTAAGTATTATGCAATTATCTCCAGAAAAAATAGGGTTCTATTCTGGTCCAAGCCCAACCTACATTCTAAATTTCGTGAAGATAGGGCCATAATTGCGACCTGTAGAGTGATTACAAATTAACATGGACAGACGGACGGACATACATAGCTAGATCGACTCAGCTCGGCGCGATAGAATGTGAGAAACCAATATTTCGAGGTGTTACATAATTGTTGTTGGTGTTACATAACCCCACCATATAGTGTTGTAGGGTATAAATATTTTACTGCACAGAAAAGTAGGGATAATCCGATTTTTCTCCAACTTTGCAAATCCTAATATTTACATCAGTGCCAGGTCAGGTGCGAAAACGGACAATATCGGTTCAATTACCTCCCCCCCTCCCCCACAAGTACCTCCCCCACAAAGGGTAAAAATTATGAACAATTATAACTCTTATAAAATGTGAAGCAAGAGTCCACTTCTCTTAAAATTACACACATCACAATATTTTGATTAACCCAAGGCCTGATATGAAGATGGAATATATCGGTCCACTCCCTCTGGTACCTTCCGCACAAATGTTCAAAATTTTAAATATACAATATCCGATTTCACTCAGACTTGACACATCTCAATATTTCCATCAACACAGGATTTCTTATAAAGATGGTAGAGATCGGATCATTCCTTTTGGTACCTACCCCCCCCCCCCCCCCCCCACCACAGAGGCTCAAAATATCAACACGATTATAAAATCTGAAATTAGCATACGGATCTCTTCATATTTCACACATGCCATTATTTCTAATGATATGAAATCGGTTGTGAAAATGGGATTCATCGGTTCACTCTTTCTGGTACCTCCTCCCACAAAAGATCACCATTTTAAATATACATGAAGCTCATAAAACACGAAATTAATATTCGATTTCATTCAGACTTAGTACATCTCAATACTTCCATCAACACAAGATCTGTTGTGAAGATGCTGGATGTCGGACCATTTATTCTGATGAGATCTGATGGAGGGTATCGTTATATGGGGGCTATACCAAAACGTGGACCTACATGGCCCAGACGGATAGACGGACGGGCATCGCTAAATCGACATAGAATTTTATGCTGATCAAGAATATATGTACTTTGTGGGGTCTAAAATGTATATTTCGAGGTGTTACAATATTTTATATTTAATTTTATATTTTAATATTGTTATTAAGTAATCTTTTAAAAACACAATATTGAATTATCGAATGAGGGTCACGTTTAGTACGGAATGATGTTTAAGGGCTTAGAGGTACAAAAACTTTGAAATTTTGAAAACCACTTTTAATTAAAGGTAAGAGTTGGAACACTGAAATCTTTCATGAGGCTCAGTTCTGCAATGAGATATTTAGAAATTTGTTTCTTAAGAGTACGATGAGATCTAATATAACTGCGTTGTTTTTGAACGAGATTTTGATATTGGCGGTATTATTGAATATCGTATTTTAGGATTACAATACAAAACAAGTAAAAAAGCAGTTCCGCAGGGCCGAACTTCGAATACCCTTCACCATTTGACGCGAATTCCAAAATTTTCAAAAAAATAAAATCCATTAAAATTTTTGTTAAAATCTTTAATATACATAATATCGGAAGGTGTCTCCATATGGGGGGATATGTGATATTGTGGATCTATATAAACAAATCTATTTCTGAGGGTAAAGTACTCACAAAGAACATTTCCCTTTGAAAAATGTGGCTAAAATCATCAAAATACCGAATATCGGTGGGACCGTTATGTGGGGGCTAAATGATATCGTGGACCTATATAGACAATTCTCTTTCAGGTGGTAAAGTACTCACAAGGGACTCCTTGTGTGGAATTTCAGACAATTCCATTGAAAAATGTGGCATAAATTATCAAAATACCGAATATTGGGGGGTGCCTTTTTATGGGGGCTATACGATATCGTGGACCGATATAGCCCATCTTCGAACTTGACCTGCCTGCAGGCAAAAGAGAGATCTGTGAAAAATTTTAGCTTCCTATCTTAATTTGTTTTGACTGAAGCGTGATTACAACAGATGGACTGACAGGGCTATATTGTCCTAGAATTTTACGCTGATCAAGAATATATATACTTTGTTGGTTCTAAAATGATTATTTCGATGAGATACAAACGGAATGACGAACTTAATATACCCTCCATACTATGTATGGTGTAGGGTATAAAAAAAAGAAAATTTAAAAAAGGGCAACATTCGGGCAGCGTGTGACATTTTCATTGGTCGTTTGAAGGCCATAATTCGTGCCAAAGGTGACCAATTCGAACAAATCTAAACTTATTCTAAAATTTGATGCTTTTTCCGACATTTTCTGCTTTCATTCAATAAAATTTAAAAAAAAAATAAATAGAAATTATGGCGTTTGACTTTGTTGCATTTTTTTGTCTCACCCTGTAATTGTATATTGTCACCATATTATTTATTCATATACATACTTAAAACCCCTCATACAAAAAAAAAAAAAAAACTCCCAAATAAAAAAAAAACTCCCAAATAAACCAAATCGAATTCTTTACATTAACTAAACTAAACGCAAATCCAACCTAATCAATTATCACTGCTGTTGACTAATTTGTGTTAAATCAATTTCAATGAATATTTAATGTTACATAAATGAGTGGTTATCGGAATCACGCATTAAAAACTTTGAAAATTTATTCATGACAAGTGCTTATTACAGCCTACGTCAGAGGGTTTATCACATAAAATTACAGCGAGAGCCTTTCGGATATGATAACTGAGAGCAAAGATTAGGGGCACCAAACAAGGTATGGATAACATATACAAATAACGACAAATTACATACAGAACCGACCAGAGATGGAAAACGTCATAAAGCCGAACAATATGTAGAAGTATAAAACGTCGTAATATTCTGAAATATTGTAGCGACCCACATAATACATCCCAAGTTGGATGAGGCTGGGTTTTTGGAAATCCGGACTAGAAGTGCATTATAAGTACTAGATAGCACTTAATTCCGTTTATACCCTCCACCATAGTAAGTTTGTCATTCCGTTTGTAACACATCGAAATATACATTTTAGACCCCACAAATATATTCTTGATCCGCATAAAATTCTATGTCGATTTAGCGATGTCCTTCCGTCTGTCCATCTATCCTTCTGTGAACATCACTCTAGCTTCCGAACGAAATTAAATAGGTTGATAAATTTTTACTCAAATATATATTATGTCTGCAGGACTTTTGGTATTGAAATGGGTCATGTAGGTCCACGTTTTGGTATAGCCCCCATATAACTATACCTCCCGATATTCGGTACTTTGTTGATTTTAGCGACATTATTCTCCGCATTTTTTTTAAATTTGGTGTTTGAAGTTCGTATGTGATACTAAAGCCTATGAAAGAAAATTGTCTGTGCAGGTCCACGTCTTCGTGTAGCCCTAGTAAGTCCACGCTTTGGTATAGCCCCCATATAATAGTACCTCCTTTTTCGGTATTTTGTTGATTTTGGCGACATTTTTCACCGACATTTTTTTTCTTTCAAATTTGGCATATGAAGTTCGTAATGAATGGTACAGCCTAAGACAGAAAATTGTCTGTGCAGGTCTACGTCTTCCTATAGCCCCATATAATGGTACCTCCTGATATTCGGTACTTTGTTGATTTTAGCGACATTTTCCACCGGAATTCTTTCAAATTTGATTTTCGTTGTGGATGTAACAGCCTATGACAGAAAATTGTCTGTGCAGGTCTACGTCTTCGTATAGCCCCCATATAATGGTACCTCCCGATATTCCGTATTTTGATGATTTTAGCTATATTATTCACTGATTTTTTTTTCAAGTTTCGTATTTGAATATTGTAATGACTTATGACAAATGTTGCCTATGCAGGTCGACGTCGTGTATAGACCCTAAAATAACGGCTGCATACGTTTTTTTTAGAGCTGCACTAAATGGTACTAAAGTTGCTACAATATAGTATCGGGTGAACAGATAGTGCATAAAATCTGAGTTTTGGTATGAAGGTCGCTGCTCACATGTAGCCTCGACATACGAAGGTGGTTTCGCAAATGTGTACTATAATTGTTCGAAAAGTACTAAGTGGCACTAAATTTGGTCTTGGTTGAAGGGATAGAGATAAAATTCTAAAATTGTATATTTATATTAGTGATGGTATGGAACAGTTTGGTTTACGGTGAACGGATAAAGTCAGAATTTTGAAAGTTTGTCTTGAAGTCCCTGTTTAGATAAGGAAGTGCTTTTGGATGCTTGTACTACAATTGCTAAATAGTACTATATTTGGTAGAATTTTGTATTGGGTAAACAGGAAGTGCTTGAAATCTGAAATTTTATATTAGGGTCGATCTTCATGTGTAGACTTGACATATGGAGGTGATTTCGGAAATGTGTACTATATTTGTGCGAAAAGTACTAAATGGTACTTTATTTGCTATTGGGAAAGGTATAGAGTTACAATTTTAAAAGTTTATATGTAGATTATTGATGGTATCTATGTTTGAGATTTGACGATGGTATTAAATGCGTCCTTTATTTGTACGAAAAGTACTAAATAGTATTAAATTTGGAACAGTTTGGTTAAGGGTGAACGGATGAAGCTGCAATTTTAAAGGTTTGTCTTGAGGTCCCTGTTGGGGGAGGTACTAAATAGTACTGTATTTGGTACAATTTTATGTTGGCAAAACAGAAAGTGTTTCAATTTGGTATTAAGGACGCTGAGATGGTTTCGAAAATTTGTACTATAATTACACGAAAAGTACTAAATGGTACTAAAGTTGGTCCTGGTCGAAGAAATAGAGCCAACACTCTGATATTTTGATTATTGATGGTATCTGTGATTGAGGTTTAGCCTTTGCTTGGAAATGCGTCCTTTATTTGTACGAAAAGTACTTAATGATACCAAATTTGGTAATGGGTGATGCTATATGACAGGAATTCTCAAAATTTATATTGAGGTCTCTGTTGGTATCTGGCATTGAGATATGGATATAGTTTTGGAAGTGCGCACAAAAATTGTTCAAAAAGTACTCAATTTCAATTACTGTTGGAGCTAGTATGGATAGCTGTAGATTGGTTTGGATATGCGTACTAAATGTTACGAAATTTGTTATTGGGTGAGGGGGAAGAGCTGGAATTCTGAAATTGGATATTGAAGTCACTGTTGGTTTCAAGGTTTACAGACAGAGACGCTGAAATAGTTTTAGACAGAAAAAATGGAAGTGGGCCCATTTTGCAATGGTTTTACTAATATCCTCTCTGGTTAACTTCAACATGAAAAACTTTGAGGACCTGTTGGTTTTAAAGGCAAAAGTTTTCCTATTATTATTAAAAAAAAAAGGAAAAACTTAGATTATTATATAAAACCTTGAAAGTTTGAAAATTAAGTACGATATATGAAGTTTCACTTAAAAAATGTTTGTCAAAGTGGAAAAATTTGTGCATTTTGAGTACCAACAGGACCTAACACGATTTTTTGGAAAGAATCAACAATTTTAAGGTGGACTTTTCTCTGACGAATTCGCGGGCACTTGACAAAAGGGTGTATAAGAAAAATTTACATATATTCAAAATTTTCTTCAGAGAGAGACCTTCTTACCCTTAAGAATCTGAATAGCGAAATTATAACCCATTGGATTGGAAATGCGTTCAATTCCCTTGAGATACTTAAATCGGAAAGTTGTAGTATGTATGGGGGACTATATTAAAAAATGGGCCTACAGAATGAGATGAAAAAACTGCAACCAACTTCAGACTGCTGTCATTTCTAAGCCACTCGTCCGACAGTTGTTAAAATTATTCCATTATATTGTTAATAAGCGTACAAAAGTATTTTGATGAACATTTTCCAGGAAAAATGGAAAAAAAAAAAAAGTTATACGTGATGGAATTCAAGCGCGATAGTGTGATTTCTTTATATTTGGCTGGAAAACCACAAGTGACTATCGTTAGAGCACTTCAGCATTTAAATGTGAATAAATCTTTTGTGTGAACAAACAAAATAATCGTATTTACTTGCTAAAGAGGACAATATTTTGAAGGGTGTATTAAAGCGTTGGGCACGCAAACATTTTGGCCGCAGACCTTGGACATTCTAACCGGGACAAGCAAGCGCTTCTCCGGGAATGGGCCAAAATACCGCAGAGCATCATTCGGGTAGCGTGTGACGGTTTCATTGGCCGTTTGTTTCATGCAAATGTGACCAATTCGAATAAATTTAAGCCTATTCTAAAATTTGATACTATTTCCAACAATTTTTGCTTTCGTTCAAAAAAATTACAAAAAATTAAAGATAAGATGTTTGACTTTGTTGCAGTTTTTATACCCTCCACCATACTATGGAGAGTGTATTAATTTTGTCATTCCGTTTGTAACTCCTCGAAATACCCATGTCAGACCCAACAAAGTATATATATTCTTGATCAGCGAAAAATTCTAAGACGATTTAGCCAGGTCGGTCTTTCTGTCTGTCCGTCTGTCTGTTGTAATCACGCTATCTTTCGAACGAATTGAGATTGAAGGCTAAAATTATGCACACGTGTTTATTTTGCCAGTTGGCAGGTTAGGTTCGTAAATGGGTTACGTTTTCATATAGCCCCCATATATCGGTACTTCCCGATATTCGATATTTTGATGATTTTAGGGACATTATTCACCGGAATTGTTTCAAATTTGGCATTTGAAGTTCGAAATGGAAACTACAGTCTATGACAGAAAATTGTCTGTGCAGGTCCACGTTTTCATATAGACCCCATATAACGGTACCTCCTGATATTCGGTATTTTTCTGATTTTAGGATCTTTATTCACCGTAGTAGTTTCAAATAACGTAGTTAGAGTTCGTAATGGAAACTACAGTCTGTGACACAGAATTGTCTATGCATGTCCAGGTCTTCGTATAGGCCCCACATATCAGTACCTCCCTATATTCGGTGTTTTAACAATTTTGGGTACAATACTCAACGAAATTGTTTGAGATGTCGTATTTGAAGTTGGTAATGGAAGCTACAGCTTATGACAGAAAATTGTCTATGCAGGTCCAGGTCTTCGTATAGCTCCGATTTAACGGTACCTCCGGTATTGTGATGATTTAAGCTACATTAATCCCCGTTTATTTCAAGTTTCGAATTTAAGCATGGTAACGGCTATATTCGGTATTTTTAAGATGTTAGCAGAATTTTTGACGAATATTTTCTTTTCGCAAATTTCCAAATTCGTTCTAAATGGTGAAGGGTATTCAAAGTTCGGCCCGGCCGAACTTACTGTTTTTAACTTGTTTTTATCTTGCCCTGTACATTGACAATTAACAAAAAATTGCTCAAAATATTTACATTTTAGTGAGAATTGGGTTCTTCCTCAAGACAATTCTTATCCTTTGTCTCAAAAACCAAGATGTTATAACCACAATTTTTTTGTTCTAACACAAATTTACTACCATTTTTTTTTGAAAACATTCCTTGGCTTGTCCTCAGGTTTTTTTCATGTAGGGGTTATTAAGTGGTTGTTTTTTCTTTTTTTTTTTTGGTTATGTTTTCTTTTGGAGTGGAAAATTGATGTTTTTTAATAAAAGCTTTGGAAACTATGTCTGGAAACCTTAAAAAAAAAACAATTTCCGTGACAATTATTAGGACAATGAACAGTTAATTACTTAATATCCATGAAACATGTCTGTTTACATAAATATCAATCAAAATATTTGGTAGACATCAAGTCTTGATAAAAATCTGATGTTAAACTTATTTCATTTAAAATAATTATAAACATTATCGTTAGAACTCCCAAGGAGTTTAGATAGTTTTTCAAAAAAAAAAAATAAAAAATATTTAAAATTAAAAATTGAATATAAAACCAACTGCCCTTATTTAAATTTCCCACACTGTATCGAGCATTTTTCCAAACTCATATATAAATCAAACGACCAATAATCATCAAAGTACAAAACGAAACTCAATTCGGTCAAACTAAAATCTGTTACGCTTAAATCGAAATCTAAAAATCCTTCCTCCCGGGCAATCATTGGCTTGCTTTGCGGAATGAATGTAAGACTGCATAATGACGGCGGCTATGACCGCACATATGCAGTTCGTGGAATTCTGAGAGTAATGAAAATTTTGGGTTTATGGAAATGGCAAACGGAAGCGGATAAAGAAACCCCCCGACACATTCTCTGGCTGCAATACGTTCAACGTTTGGTATGCCACGGACCGTTTACATTCGTTTTCATAACGCTAATGTGGATTGAAGCATTGCGAGCCAATGGTTTGGATGAAATGGGCGATGTGCTGTACATGTCATTAACCGAGGCAGCGTTAATTGTGAAAATCCTTAATATTTGGCAGCATTCCACCAAAGCCTCAACATTTCTGCATGCATTAAGGCATAACGCTCACTTTGCTCTACACTCCGGCGATGAAGTGACATTTTGGCGAAATGCTCAGAAAAAATTCCGTTATATTATTTATATGTATTCGGCGGGTAGTGTGTTCACCGTCATCTCAGCATTTGCGGGAGTTTTGTTTGTGACGGAACCACAAATGGCATTCGCATATTGGGTGCCATTCGAATGGCAAAGCAATCGTCGGAATTATTGGTTGGCATATCTCTATGATTTCGTTTCAATGGTTTGTACGGCTGGCTCCAATGTCTGCCTCGACATGATGGGTTGTTACATGATGTTTCATGTCTCACTGCTGTATAAGGTGTTAAGTTTTCGTTTGCAGAAGCTGCGGGCCGTCAAAGGGGAAGATGTCAATGAGAAATTCAAAAAGCTTATATTGATGCATAAGAGTATAAGGCGGTGAGTATGGGGGAGTTACAGACCCACAGACAAAATATTCTTGCAAATCTGTAGCGGGAATCTCTAATTCATTTTTTGAGTTTGCGACACAAATCGGTAACTTCGAAACCCAAAATTTTAATATAAAATAAGAAGTTAATGTTGACAACATTGGTATCTATCCGTAGGTATTAGCGACTAATTTGATTTCGTCGCTAACTTATCGACAAATTTCGTTAATTACCGAATTTTCATTTTACCGACTTTTATTGGTAACTCATAAAATTAGTTAGAGAATTCCACTACTGGTTACCAAGCCATTTGATTGACAACTTAAAAACTTTGTTTAACCACTTTTAGCGGTCAAATTTGAAGTACTTTTGCTGGATAAGTCTCCTTGAAAAAATTACTTTTTTCATCCAACCCTAATTTTTTCAATTTTTATATTTCTAGCATGACCCGGGAGTGTGAAATCCTAAGTTCCAAATATGTCCTCTCACAAATTATCTTGAGTGCATTAATATTATGCTTCTGTTGCTATCGTATTATAAAGGTAAATATATAAGAAGACTAAGTGTCCGTTACTTTGTCGAAGTCCACTTTAAATTTGTAGATTAGTTCCAACAGTTCGTGTTAGACCCTTTTTATACCCTCCGCCATTCTATGGAGGGTATATTAACTTTGTCATTCCGTTTGTAACTCCTCGAAATATTCACAATAGACCCTACAAAGTATATATATTCTGGATCAGCGTAAAATTCTAAGACGATCTGTCCGTCCGTCCGTCTGTCGGTCTGTTTTAATCATGCTATCTTTCGAACGACTGAGATAACTATGCGTACATGCATAGTTTAACCGTAGTCTGGTTAAGTTCGTAAATGGGCCATGTCGGTCGTTTTCGTAAAGTCCCCATATAACGGAACCTCCCGATACTCGATATTTTCATGATTTTAGCGACATTATTTAACGGATTTATTTAAAATTTCGTATTTGTAATGGGTACTACTTCCTACTATTTTTTTTATGCAGGTCTAAATCCTCGTATAGCCCCCATATGACGGTACCTCCCGATATTCGATATTTTAATGATTTCAGTAACATTATTTACCGGAATCGTTTCAAATTTCGTACTGGAAGATCCTAAGGGGTACTACATCCCAATACAGAAAATTGTCTGTGCCGGTCCACGTCTTCGTATAGCCCCATTAAACGGTACCTCCCAATATTCGGTACTTTGTTGATTTTAGCGACAATATTCACCGGAATTTTTTTAAATTTGGTATTTGAAGTTCGTAATGCATACTGCAGCCTAAGACAGAAAATTGTCTGTGCAGGTGCAAGTCTTCGTATAGCCCCCATATAGCTCTACCTCCCGATATTCGGTATTTTGATGGTTTTAGCGATATTATTCACAGGAATTGTTTCAAATTTGGTATTTGAAGTTCGAAATGGATAATGGATGACAGAAAAGTGTCGGTACAGGTCCACATTTTGGTATAGCCCCATATAATATTATCTCCCTATATTGATGATTTTATTCACCGATTTTTTTTTCAACCTTCGCATTTGAATATTCTAGTGGCTTATGGCAAAAGTTGCCTAGGTCCACGTCGTCGTTTAGACCCTTATATGACGCCTACATTTGGTATTTTTAAGATTTTAACAGAATTTTTAACAGATTTTATTTATTTATTTTTTTTTTTTTTTTTCTGAAATTGCCAAATTCGTTCCGAGTGGGGAAGGATATTCAAAGCAACATGTTTAATAAAAATTTCGTACGATGTACTATATATTCTGACTTTCAAGGTTTCATTTATTATTCAATTTTTTTCTTTTTCGAAATGAATAATAGGAAAATATTTGCTTTTTACATCAAAAAGTCTTCAAAATCTCTTATTTTGAAGTATATCGACCAGGATTTTAGCAAAACCATGGACCCACATCCAATTTTACTGTCCTAAACGATTTCAACGTCCCCATATTTAAATCCTAGAAAAAAAAATCGTGACCTCAATATCAAATTTCGGGATTCCAACTTTATCTCTTCTTCTACGAAATTTAACAACATTTTTTATCTCTCCATCCTAGACACCGACATGGATCCAAAATTAGCACCATTAAGTAATTTTCCGAAAATTATAGTACGCACTTGTAAAACCACCACCAGATACCAACAGAGACCTCAATATCAAAATTCGGAGTCCCAGTCCTATCCTTCCACAAAATATCCAATTTAGTACCACTTAGTACTTTTCGAACAATTATAGTACACATTTCCAAAACCATCTCATGAGAGATATAATTATTCGAAAATTTTACCCCGTTGATTTGCAGGTAAAAATATTAATCTACGCGATATTTGAAGACAATCGGACATTTATTTAACATTTTATTAGAGTTATAATTATTCAAAATTTTGACCATTTGTGGGGGAGGTAATTGAACCGAAATTATCCATTTTCGCACCTGACCTAGCCCTAGTGTAAATATTAGGATCTGCAAAGTTGGAGCAAAATCGGATTATTCTATATCCTCCCTGTGTGCAGCAAAATATTTTTTGATATTTATTTTTGTGGGGCATGTAGCAGGAGGAATGTAACGATATTTTTAAATAATGTTCCTTTTTTATAAAAATGATTCTCAATCTCTCATTGCAGCTGGATATTGTCGCTAATTTCGGACAATTTCTATCGATGCTACAGTTTTTGGCCGTCATGATTTTTGAAATATTTCTGCCCTGTTATTTTGGCAATGAAATCACCTTAAATTCAAGTGAAATAATGTTGGATGTCTATCGCACCGATTGGTTGGAATATTCGGTGGCAAATCGCAAATTAATTATTTTATTTCGCGAATTTCTAAAGCGACCAGATAAGGTGACAATTGGAGGTTATTTTGAGGTTGGATTGCCGATATTTACAAAGGTGAGATAAACTTTGAATATTGATATTTAATGTTGTTATTTAATATTGATATTTAATGTTGTCCTAGATGTTATTGTGTGAAGAAATTCATAAAATAAATTTGTAATTGTGTTTTTTTTTTCAGGTGGTGAACAATGCCTACAGCTTTTTTGCACTTTTAATGAATGTGGAGAAGTAAAATAAAAAAAGACAGAAAGGCATGAAATAAAGTTTGGAATAGTGGTTTTGTTTTAATTTTTTGAATAAAACAAATTTAAAAATTTAGAAAAAGGTCCACAAAAGCGTTTGAAAATCAATTAAATAGTTGTAGTTGACAAACGGAAAAAATAGAAATTTGAAAATTGGGGCCTCAAATTGTATTTTTTAAGAAATATGTGTTCAAATATCTAAATTATGGACTTTTTAAAAACCCATTGTCAAGAACGTTCAACGGAGGGTTTTTAGGAGAACATTTTCAAAGATGTCGAACTTGGTTTTTAGAAAAAAAATTCAAAAAAACGTTATTTTTTGGAAAAAAATTAAGAATTTTTTAATAAAAAATTAAGTTTTTTAAAAAATATTAAGGGGCATCGTGGAGTTTTTAGAAAAAAAAATTAGATTTTTTAAAAAAAAAAACAATCAAGGACCTTTAACGTACAAAAATATGAAATGCCTTAAACGTGGATTTTTGAAAAAAATATATCAAATGCCTTAAACGAGGATTTTTTAAGAAAAAAAATATCAAACGCCTTAAACGTGGATTTTTTAAGAAAAAAAAATATCAAATGTCTTAAACGTGAATTTTTAAGAAAAAAAGATATCTAATGTCTTAAATGTGGATTCTTAAGAAAAAAAAATATCAAATGCCTTGAACGTGGATTTTTAAGAAAAAAAAAATATCAAATGCCTTAAACGTGGATTTTTAAGAAAAAAAAAATATCAAATGCCTTAAACGTGGATTTTTAAGAAAAAAAAAATATCAAATGCCTTAAACGTGGATTTAAAAAAAATATCAAATGCCTTAAACGTGGATTTAAAAAAAATATCAAATGCCTTAAACGTGGATTTAAAAAAAAAAATCAAATGCCTTAAACGTGGATTTAAAAAAAAAAAATCAAATGCCTTAAACGTGGATTTAAAAAAAATATCAAATGCCTTAAACGTGGATTTAAAAAAAATATCAAATGCCTTAAACGTGGATTTTTTAAGAAAAAAAATTCAAATTTAAGAAACAAGACCTTCAGCGTGGATTTAAAAAAAAAAATATCAAATGCATTAAATGTGGATTTTTAAGAAAAAAAATTCAAATTTAAGAAAAAATACTTTCAGCGTGGATTTTTTACGAAAAAAACTCAACGGCCTTCAACGTGGATTTTTAAGAAAAAAAATCAGTGTGGATTTTCTACGAAAAAAAAACTTAACGAGGATTTCAAAATAAAATTCAAGAATCGTCATTGTGAATTTTTTTGAGAAAAAATTTTGAGATCCTTCAAACAAATAAAAAAGCTTTAAGTTCGGCCCGGCTTAAAAATGCAAATGTAGGTAACATTCAAATGCGAAACTTAAAAAAATCGGTTATAATGTCGATAAAATCAAAATACCGAATATCGGGAGGTACCGTTATATGGGGGCTATACGAAGACGTGGACCTGCACAGACAATTTTCTGTCTTAGGCTGTAGTAACCATTACGAACTTCAAATACCAAATTTGAAACTCTTCCGGAGAATAATGTCGCTAAAATCATCAAAATACCGAATATCTGGAGGTACCGTTGTATGGGGACTATACCAAAACGTGGACCTACATGGCCCATTTTCAATACCAAAAGTCCTGCTGACATAACATACATTTGAGCAAAATTTCATCGATCTGCTTCAATTCGTTCGGAAGCTAGAGTGATTTCCACAGACTAACAGACGGATAGATGGACATCGCTAAATCGACATAGAATTTTATGCTGATGAAGAATATATATACTTTGTGGGATCTAAAATATTTATTTTTTTAAAATATTTGTTACAAACGGAATGATAAACTTAATATACCCTCCATACTATGGTGGAGGGTATAAAAAAATTCAGGGACATTCAACATGGATTTTTTTAAAAAAAATAATTTTAAGGACCTGCAAAATGGATTATTTAAGAAAAAAATCCAAGACCTGCAACGCCAAGTTGGACGTTTTAAGAAAAAAAAAAAAACGTCAAGGGCCTGCAACGTGGATATTTTGATAAAAAAAGTTTCATCGACCACAACTTTTTAAGAAAAAATCTACAAGGACTTCGAATATTTAAGAAAAAGATTGAAGTACTTCGAATTTTTAGGAAAAAAATTTCAATAACCTCGAATTTTTAAGAAAAAAAAATTGAAGGACTTTTATCCTGAACTTTTTAAGACAACAATTTTAAGGACCCGCTCCGTGAATTTTTTTAAAATAAGGTTTTAAGGACCTTCAAGGAAAATTTCAAAGACTTTCAATGTGGATTTAAAAAAAAAAAATATTAGGCATCTTAAATGTAGATTTTTCAAGTCAAATATGTCAAGGACGTTCAATATGGATTTTTTAAGAAAATAAAATTCAAGGGCATTTAGCGTGGATTTATTATGAAACAGAAAAGACATTTAACCTGGATTGATTGACTGGATTGGATTGATTAAAAAAAATTGCAAGGACCTTCATCGTGGATTTTTAAGAAAAAAATTTTAAAAAACAAATTCAAGGATCATCAACGTGGATATTTTAAAAAAATCAAAATCGATTTGAATAAAAATCAAGGACCTTCAACGTGAATTTTTAAGAAAAAAACAAACATGAAGCAAATTTAAGGACACTTAGCGTGGATTGATTGATTGGATTGATTAGGAAACAAATCCTTCATCGTGGATTTTTAAGAAAAAATTTTAAGGACCTTCAATGTCAATTTAAAAAAACAAATTCAAGGACCTTCAATGTCAATTTAAAAAAACAAATTCAAGGATCTTCAACGTCGATATTTAAAAAAAAATCAAAATCGATTTGAAAAAAAATCAAGGACCTTCAGCGTGAATTTTTTAAGAAAAAAAACCTGAAACAAATTTAAGGATAGTTAACCTGGATTGATTAAGAAAAAAATTGCAAGGACCTACATCGTGGATTTTTAAGAAAAAAGTTTTAAGGACCTTCAACGTCAATTTTTAAGAAAAAAACAAATTCAAGGATCTTCAACGTGGATATTTAAAAAAAATCAAAATCGATTTGAAAAAAATCAAGGACCTTTAACGTGAATTCTTTAAGAATAAAGAAACATAAAACAAATTTAAGGACACTTAGCCTGGGTTGATTGATTGGATTTGATTAAGAAAAAAATTGCAATTACCTTCACCGTGGATTTTTACGAAAAAAGTTTTAAGGACCTTCAACGTCAATTTTTAAGAAAAAAAAACAATTAAAGGATCTTCAACGTGGATATTTAAAAAAATCAAAATCGATTTGACAAAAAATCAAGGACCTTCAACGTGTATTTTTTAAGAAGTCTTTTCAAGAATCTTAGTCATAGAATAATATTTACAATATTTGCAAGATTTTTACTATTTATTCCTTAAAATGTTTCATAGCATTAATTTGATATAAATTAACATAGAGTGACATAAGCACAAGGCGTTAAAGACGAAATTAGAATTTGTGTGAAAATCTCCAACATTCACATCCAGCCATTAAATATGCATCTGGCTGGCACTTTAACCTGATGCATTTCATTGTTCTGCTGCTGCTGCTGTTGTTGTCCCTTTTTCGGTTTGTAAATTTCAATTTAGCAAACACAGTCTGCCTACCCTAACAGCAATTAAGCCATAATAAGAACAGGACTTTAATAAAGCCGGTGTCTTCAGCAGACAGCCATAGCCAGCTTGGCATTTACAATGGAAAACTTTACGCTCAAACTGAAAAGCATTCCACTAATGAAAAGACATATCTTCCCTTGACATCAAAACTAAAAGCGAAAAGGATGAGCCGCCAGAGACACAAAAACGGGCAAGCCAAAGAGACAACACAAAAGTGGGAAAAACAATGGTGGTGTAGTTGTTGTTCTGCATATCCTGGAATTTGTATGCACACTAATTCAGACACACAATCAAACACATAGAGAAGCGGTGAATGAACAACATTTGCCTTAATTGTTTTTCATTCTCTTCTCTTCTATTTTTTTTCAAAACATTTTTTGAGGCTTGATGCATAAGGCCAGCGTCAGACGGCCACAAATTTTCTACAGCAGTTTCAGTTCCATCACACCAGCTGTGCCATCATCTTATTTTTGTGTTCCATGCATTCTTACGGCACTCCACGGGCGATTGTCTCAAACATCAGCAACGGTTTGAAGACCCCCTTTTTTGTTGTTGTCTGCTTTTGGTTGCCGGCTGTTTGACAATCATGTGAGCAAACATTGTTCACTTCGCAATGGACCACCACTCCCAACCGCCCCACAACCGTTTTGTCATCGTAAATTTCTGGCTGCAGGAAGCCCAGCAATGACCCCCTCCAGCTACCGAGTATCTGCATAGGTGGATTTTTCATAATTATACTGCATAATTTTTGTTGCATCAACGGCTAAACAAGTGTGGCATACTCCCACACATGACACCGCCATCATCACCACTGTCTGAGACACTTTGAAAGCCACAACAAACAATGCAGTGTGGAGTGGTGTGGAGTGGTTTGGTGTTTGTCGTTCGGCAGAGTGGAAGAAATGGTAGACAATCAGCCAGCCAACCCATGAACCATCCCCGAGAGTTAGGTAGTAACAAACAACTGCTGCTACTGCTTGACATAGTGACCGTATGGGAGAAACCACAGTGCAGTAACAATAGCAACAACAACAATGACAAGATGCAAGTTCATCCAGCTCTACAATGAAATTAACAACAATGCTGCACAAAGCGAACTCAATGTCCCAGCGGAAACATTTGAAGATCCTCATTTGGGGTTAACCACAAAGCAATGCTGAAGGAAATTGGGTTATTCCAGAGATGTGTTTAGATTTTAATTGGGGAGTGGCGGGGCGATGAGAAGTAAGGAAATATTGAATGAAAAATTGGTAGCATGGGCCAAAAATTATGTAACTGCTCGAAATATTGGTCCAAGACTAGGAAACTAAATATGCCTGTCCAACTCTCCATGTTAAATTGTAATCACGCTACGGGTCGCAACTATGGTCCAATCCTCAGGGATTTCGCACGGAGGTGGGGTTCATATCATAATAGAAGCCTATTGGACCTTTTGTGGGGGAGGTACCAGAAGGAGTGGACCGATATTACCCAGCTCCGAACTCGATCTAAGTTTGACAAATATATTTCGATGCACCTAATTTGGACCAAATCGGATACTTCTTTCGAGAGTTATAATGCGCACCAGCCAAAAGGGCAGACAGACGGACGGACATCGCTAGATCGACTCCAAATGTCCTGAAACGGATTTGGTCCAAAGAGACCTAGGGTCTAAACCGTTATTTCGACTAGGCACGTTTCGGCCGTATCAAATGAAATATACCCTCTATAGCCATATGGCTGAGGGTATAATAAATATATTATATTCTTAATCAGCCTAAAAAATCGAAGACGATTTAGCCCTGTCCGTCCGTCCGTCCGTCAAGATTCGTTATATCCACTATATCATATGGTACCCATATAATGGTACCTCCAATATTCGGTATTTTGATGATTGTAGCCAAATTTTCTGAAAATCGACACAATGAGTTCATTCTGAGTACTTTACCCCCTGGAAGAGTATTGTCCATGATATCATATAGCCCCCATACAATGGTACCTCCCTATGTTCGGCATTTTACTGATTTCAGCAACATTATCGACCGGAATTGTTTCAAATTCATCATCTGTAACAGAAAATTGTCTATACAGGTCCAGGTCTTCGTATAGGCCCCATACATAGGTACCTCCTTATATATATTGACGATTTTAGGTACAATATTCAACGAAATTGTTTCAAATTTCGTATTTGAAGTTCCTTATGGATACCTCAGTCTATGACAGAAAATAGTCTATCGTATGGCCCCGATATATCAGTAACTCACTATGTGCGGTAATTTGATGATTTTAGCTCTATTATTCACTGGATTTTTTTTTTCAATTTTCGTAGTTGAATATTGTAATGGCCTATGACAAAAGTTGCCTTTGCAAGTCAACGTCTTCGTAAAGACCCCCAATATAATGGCCATATTCGGTAGTTTTAAGAATTTAACAGAATTTTTAACGGATTTTGTTATTTATTTTATTTTTTATTTATTTATTTATTTATTTTTTTTTTTTTGAAAATTTCCATTTCGGCCCGGCCGAAAAAATATAAAAAATCTCCTGTCATAGGCTGTAACATCCATTACGACCTTCACATACCAAAATTTGAACCAATTCTGCTGAATAATGTCGCTAAAATCATCAAAGTACCGTATACCGGGAGGTACAGTTTTATGGCGGTTATGCGAAGACGTAGACCTGCACGGACAATTTTCCGTCATAGGCTGTAGTATCCATTACGAACTTCAAATAACAAATTTGAAAAAATTCCGATGAATAATGTCTCTAAAATCATCCAAGTACCTAATATCGGGAGGTACCGTTATATGGGGAGGTACCAAAACGTGGATCTGGCCCATTTTCAATAACAAAAGTTCTGTAGACATAACATACATTTGAGTAAGATTTTTATCAATCTACTTCATTTCGTTCGGAAGGTGATTGCTACAGACGGACGAACATCGCTAAATCGACATAAAATTTTATGCTGATCGAGAATATATACACTTTGTGGGGTCTAAAATGTATATTTCGAGGTACTACAAACGGAATGACAAACTTAATATACCCTTCATACTATGGTGAAGGGTGTAAAAAAACTTGATTTGGTTTAAGAGAAAATGTTTAAGCACGAACGGAGGGGAAATCACAAGGGCCTTCAGCGTGGATTTTGAAGGCTACTTATTTTTAAAGGTTTCTAAAAAAAAATTTCAAAGGCCGTGGACGTGAATTAAAAAATTGAAATTTAAGTTGTTATAAGCTGGAGGACCTAATCTTGTTTTCTAATTTTTTTTTTTTTTTTTTTTTTTTTTTTTTTTTTTGAGAAAATTCTGTCAATGCAGACTTTTTATGAAAAAATTGTAATTACCTAAAACGGGGACGTTTTTATGACCCTCACTTGCGATTTTTAAGAATTTCGTTTTTACTAAGACTATCATCTTTTTTTTTATTTAAAAAAAAGGAAATTTAAAGGGCCTTTAACTGTGCCCTTTTAAAAAAAAAAAAATCAAAAGCCTGAAAGGTTAATATTTTTAAGAAACATATTTTCATTTCAATGTTGCAGGTTGAAGTGGTTGTTTTGAAAAACAATTTTCGTGGGCTTTTATTGGGATATTTCACCAAAATTTTCCCAAAGACTTCCAAAGCAAATCTTTGAAGAAACAAGTAAAAAAACCTTCAGTTCGGTGGGGCCGAATTTTTACAAATACCAATTTTTAGCCACATTCGTGGGAAAATGTGGCAAAAATCATCAAAATACTGAATATCGGGAGGTACCGCAATATATGCCTATACGAAAACGTGGACCTATACATACAATATTTCGCCAACTGAGCTACTCATTATGACCAACAAATTCCACCTTTTAGACAAATCCGTGATAAAAGGTGACAAAAACCATTAAAATACCGAATATCGGATGATACCGTTATATGGAGGCTATACCAAAGCGTGGACCTATACATACAATGTTTCTACGCGCGAACTAGGGCCCATTATGATCTACAAATACCAATTTTCAGACAAATCCGTGAAAAAATGTGGTAAAAATCATCAAAATACCGAATATCGGGAGGTACCGCTATATATGGGGACTATACCAAAACGTGGACCGATATCTCTAATTTTCAATACCAACATAATACAAATTATTCTGCTAAATTTTGACGCTCTACGTCAAATAATGTGTGCTGTATCGTTATTTCAACAGACAGACAGACCGACATCGTTAAATCGTCTTAGAATTTTATGCTGATTATGAATATATATACATTATGGGGTCTACGACGAATATTTGGGGATGTTACAAACGGAATGACAAAGTTATTATACACTCCTTTCCAAGTTGGAGGGCATAAAAATTGTGAATTCTAAAATGTGGGTATTTATAAAGTATTTAAGGGTCTTTGTTTGGGTATTTATTTAAGTATTTAACGGACGCCGATTTTTTAAGAATGTGTTTCTTTAAAGAACATGTTTTAAAGAGCTTCCAATTTTAAGAAAAATTTCAAAAGTAAAATTTGTAAAGAACCCCAGAGAAATTTCGTTGGAAAGGACTGATATTAAGATATCGTTCCCTTAAACGTCTATTTTTCGTCAGATTTCAAATCTAATCCGCTTCAAGGCTATTATTAGGACCATAACGTCTATCATTGTTCAAGATTCATTTAGGCAGCAAATCTCTTTATTTATTAATTTATTTTATTTATTTTTTTATTTATTTATTTAATTTTTTATTTATTTATTTATTTATTTATTTATTTATTTTTTTTTTTTTTTGTAAAACACTTTGCATTAAAAAAAATTGTTGTTCCGTTAAGAAAATTCCTAAATTTAACTCCATTGCTTGTACTTACCATTTTGGACCCTTATATTCACCATCGGCATCATCGTTACCACTTTGACCGCCCGCTGTTGTTGTCGTCATCGTCGTCGTCGGTGGTGGTGGTGTTGCTGTTGTTAATGATGTTGGCGTTAGAATTATAGTGGAACCGTTTTGTTCCTTATTGTTGTACGGCTGCAACATCTCCTGGGGCAATTTTTGCAATTCTAATTTAGAATGTATTCTCAAATCTTCGGTGTCCTCCCCAACAGCACGAGGGGCAGTGGCAGGATTAGTTGAACTCCAGTTGCCTAAAGGATTTTCAGGAGGATAACTGTTTGTGCGAACAGCTGGAAATAGAAAAAATAGAAGAGAAAAAAGATATGTAGTTTGGTTTTTTGGTACTTTTTTCTTATTGTCGTAGCCAAAAATGGTGTCAACGAATAGATGGATTTTTGGTGGGGATGACCAAAAGGTTTGATGGGCTATAAGCGTTGGATTTGTCACCGAAGATGTGAAATTTTTCGTCAACAATGTAGGGAAGCTAAAATGGGTTAAACACTTTTATGTGCTGTTGTGTTTTTGTTAACAAGTCATTTCTAACGAATGGAGAATATTCACGTTGGAGATGTTCAATGGGAACGTGGGTGTTAAAGAGTTGTCCGTTGAGTTCGCACAGTGAAGCAAATCCGCATTGGGTTTTATGATGTAAATCAAGGAGCGGCATTTTACTTGGAAATCTGGACCAATACAGAACGGTCATAGAGGCAAATAATTATGTCAACGAAAATTCAAGAGGCGAGAAGTCGACCTTTATCACCCCTAACAGAAGTACAGAAGTAACACGATGCTATAAAGCTCGAGTGTTTTCAATAATTACTGCGAAAATTTAACAGATTATAAAAGACAGGTGTATCTGTGTTTTGAAAGTTCCCATGGAAAATTACTCTAAATATAGAGGGCACTTTCTGCTCTTTACCACGCCTTTGAAAAAATTTCAGTTTCTTCGGAACACTCGCATACCTAGTTTCTTTGGCAATATTGCAGATAAAAATACGACTAATATTTTAGTTAAAATTCTTAACCCTCAAAAAAGGAACCTTTTGGTCATTATTATACCGTCCACCATAGTATGGAGGGTATATTAAGTTTGTCATTCCGTTTGTAACACCTCGAAATTTACATTTTAGACCCCACAAAGTATATATATTCTTGATCAGCATAAAATTCTATGTCGATTTATCAATGTCCGTCCGTCTGTCCGTCTATCCGTCTGTGGAAATCACTCTAGCTTCCGAACAAAATGAAGTAAGTTGATAAAAATTTACTCAAATGTGTATTATGTCTGCAGGACTTTTGGTATTGAAAATGGGCTACGTAGGTCCACGTCTTCGTATACCCCCATATGACTGTACCCCTCGATATTCGGTATTTTGATGATTTCAGCGACATTATTTTCCGGAATTGTTTCAAATATGGTATTTGAAGTTCGTAATGGATACTACAGCTTCAGACAAAAAATGAGCCATGTAGGTTCACGTCTTCGTATAGCCCCCATATAACGGTACCCGCCGATATTCGGTATTTTGATGATTTTAGCGACATTATATACCGGAATCGTTTCAAATTTGGTACTTGAAGTTCGTAGCGAACACTAAAGCCTAAGACAGGAAATGAGCCTTGTGGGTCAACGTCTTCGTATAGCCTCCATATAACGGTACCCTCCAGTATTCGGTATTTTGATGTTTTTAGCGACAGTATTTATCGGAATTGTTTCAAATTTGATATTTGAAGTTCGCAATGGATGCCTCAGCCTAAGACAGAAAATGAGCCTTGTGGGTCAACTTCTTCGTATAGCCCCCATGTAACGGTACCCTCCAATATTCGGTATTTTGATGATTTTAGCGACAGTATTTACCGGAATTGTTTCAAATTTGGCATTTGAAGTTCGCAATGGAGACCACAGCCTAAGACAGAAAATGAGTCATGTAGGTTCACGTCTTCGTATAGCCCCCATATAACCGTACCCCCGATATTCGGTATTTGGATGATTTTAGCGACATTATTTACCGGAATGGTTTCAAATTTGGTATTAAAAGTTCGTAATGTATACTACAGCACATGACAGGAGATTGTCTGTGCAGGTTCACGTCTTCGTATAGCACCCATATAACGGAACCCTCGATATTCGGTATTTTGATGATTTTAGCGACATTTGGTATTAGAAGTTCGCAATGGATACCACAGCCTTAGATAGAAAATTAGCCATGTAGGTCCACGTTTTCGTATAGCCCCTATATAACTGATAAGCTGCCTATGCAAGTCCACGTCGTCGTATAGGCCCTAATATATGGCTACATTCGGTATTTTTAAGATATTAATAGAATTTTTAATGGATATATTTTTTTTGAAAATTGCCAAATTTTGTACCAAATGGTGGAGGGTATTCAAAGTTCGGCCCGGCCAAATTTGTACCAAATTTTAATTTAATTAAATATTTTTCGTGCACATTAGTACAAATTTCGAAAACTTCCTATCACACTCCGCCAGTCATGTTAATTTCAAATTTAAGGATGCATCCGTTCCAAGCACGTTCAAATTGTAATATATTTAGTACCATTTAGTACACAAAAGTACGATATTCCGAAACTACCTTCATACTTTAGTTCTAGAATACAATGGTAATCTTATTTCAGGACCAGGATCACCCAAATCGAAATTGTACAAAATTTAGCACCATTTAGTACTTTTTCTTCAAATTGTACCAAATTTAGTACCATTTAGTACACATAAGTAAGAAATTTTAAAACTACCCTCATACTTCAGTTCTAGAATGCAATGGTAATCTTATATCTAAATTTCAGGATCACCCAAATCGAAATTGTACAAAATTTAGTACCATTTAGTACTTTTCTTGGACACAAGTACAAATTGCGAAAACTTCCCCCATATCCCAATCCTAAACTCCGCCAGTAATGCTATAGTATTAAATTTAGCGATTCCATCCCATCCGCATCCGTTCCTCCAAATTCAAATTGTACTAAATTTAGTACCGTTTAGTACTTTTCGTGTACATGAGTGTACACTTGCAAAACTGTCCCCTTACATCGATTCTACTCTTCAATCTTTTTTCCTATTCCAAATTTCAAGTTTTTAGCTCTAATCGTTCACATGATACGAAATGGTACCAAATATAGTACATTTTAGTACTTTTCGTAGACATATATTGCGAATTTCCAAAAACCCTCTGGTACATCTATCCTGCACTCCATCAGTGAACTTCATTCCAAATTAAAAAGTTCTAGCTCTACTGCTTCCTCAAATACAAAGAGTACCATATATACTTTTTGTACCATTTTAGTACGAATTTCCAGAAACCCCAGCCTTATCACATGCCTACGCACCAAGTCTGAACCTCGTAAAGAATTTCAAGTAAAAAAATCAGTCATCTCGTGTGGTCGTTGAGTCAGTTATTTCACTACTCTTTTATATGTCTGGATGTTAATACCCCAATCGACCCCACTGTCACCTTACCCCCTACCCCAAATTAGGTGTTACGGTTACAAATGCTGTTGCTTGTAACATTAACGACACCAGCATTTAGTATTTCTATGACGTCTCTCTAACAAGCTGCAATTTGAAAACATTTCTATGCATTTTTCTCAACTCCGAACTAAGGGAAACACCAAACACACTTTCCCTGCTTCCTTGGCATTAAGGGGAGAGAAAGGTTATCTCCCCCCTCTCCCCATTTACTATTTCAACAATTCACATAAAATAACAGTAATTCCGACTCAGAAATGTAACGAACAGCCAATGAGTAGTGGTTGTAGCCGTTGCAACAACAGCAACAACTAACTCTCTGATGGACATTAGCAACATCGGTAGTTGATTGAGGTTGTGATCCCGTGCGTCCTTCCCACAAGGACTAAATCCAGCCAGCACAACAATAGAAAGAAAAAGCAGCTTGGCGGCGGTAATGGTTAGCTGCATTGCCATTGTTGAAGTTTGAAAGGGGGGGTAGGTGAAAGGACGACTGTTGATTTCCTTTTTAGACCTGTAGCATACCACAATGAGATTTCTCTCCACTGGCACTGGGGCCTTGCCTGGCTGTCTCTGGTGATGACGCTCTGACAATGATTATGTGTATAGATGAAAAAGCGAACAAAAAGGACGAAGTGTTGATGTTAATGAAAGTTGGTTTCGTTTCTTTAGCCTTTGGCTGGCCAACAATATGAAAAGATTGGCTTTTGGTTGAATTGGGTTGGGTTTTGGTTTGGTTCGCTTATTAAGTTTTTTTTTTTCAGTGGGTTGTTTTTCTTTTCTCTCTCTCTCGTTGTTTTGGTTTCCGGGCATTGCAGTTTTTGCCATTGTATAAACGATTATACGCTTATGAAAAATATAAAACGAGTTACTAATTAAATCTATTGTCTGCGAATGGCAGGCAGGCTGGCAGTGTGATGTTGTAATATTAAATTCTATATGGCGCAATGAATAAATTGCAATGATGGTTAAAATTCAGTGCAGTTTTATTTCTGGCATAGAAAAAATAATTTTGTTAATATAATTGAAAATTATAGTTAAAACGGACATTTAAATTAAAATAATGGAGGCGGTTAAAATAATTTGAAGGATTTATTTAAATGGAAAATAAAAAATTAACAAAAAAAAATAATTTAGGCCGGGCCGAACTTTGATTATGGTGGAGGGTAACCAAATTAGAAAAAAATTGGCAATTTCCAAAAAAATAAAAAATAAATAAATAAATTCTTTAAATATTCTGTTAAAATCCTAAAAATAACGAATGTAGCCGTTATATTAGGGTCTATGCTTTTGTCATAAGACATTACAATATTCAAATGCGAAACTTGAACAAGTTAAAAAGCAATAAGTTCGGCCGGGCCGAGCTTTGAATACCCTCCACCTTTTGGAACAAAATTGAAAATTTGCAAAAAATTAAATCCTTAAAAAATTCTGTTAATATTTTAAAAATAGCAAATATAGGCGTTACATAGGCATTGCTTGTCATAAGCCATTACCATATTCAAATTCCAAACTTGAAATAAACGGTGAATAATGTAGCTAAAATCATCAAAATATCATATAGGGAGGCACCGTTATATCGGAGCTGTGCGAAGACCTGGACCAGCATAGACAATTTTCTGTCACAGGCTTTAGCATCGATTATGAACTGAAAAAACCAAATCTCAAACAATTTCGGTGGGTATTGTACCTAAAACCGTCAAAATGCCGTTCTGATATGTGGAGCCTATACGAAGACCTGGACCTGCATAGACAATTTTCTGTCACAGACTGAAGTTCCCATTACGAACCCTAAATACGCAATTTG